TTATATATTATAGACTTATAGAAAGAGACCTTCTAAAAACATTAAAATGTATTATTGGCATGCAAAACTTTAAATTAGAGTGAATAAATGAAGACTCAGCACACCGCTTCTGAAAGGTTGCCTACCCCTACTCTAATGTATCTATAGCATGAACTGTAGGAAAAATGACTTTTGTGGTGTATGTATTGATAATCTATGTGCAAAGTCAAGATTTGTGGAGTTAAGTGCCACCTAAGGCTGTGATCATTTTAAGTGAATAAAGCTAGAAATTTTTAATTTTCATATGAAATGCAAAATTCTGCTGTTGGATACTGCTGGTGGATCTTAACACACAGAGCTGCTGTTCACTCAATGGAAGATCTAAGCAGAATACCGGAGTCAGGATTCACTATGTGAATCTAAGGACAGATCTCCTGTTAGCTTGAAAGTTGTTCTGTCATTTTTAGTTCAGAAATGACATAGTGGTCTATCCTAAAATACTTGTACAATGCAAATATTTTGCAGTTGAAGATACATTAAAGAACAACAAATATCTGAAGTAGATAATTACTACTAAATTAATTCACATTGAGGGATTTCTTAGTCAGCAGTGCTGAGGAATGTTCCCATCTCATCAAAGGAACTGAAGAAAGTCCCCAGACAACAACCCCTCAGTTTGACTTTGCTGTTTCCAGCAGAGTTCCTGAAATGGCTTCTGTAAGGCTGCTCAATGTCATTTTAATTGCAATAATAATCAGGATCACAGTATGCTTGGATTTCCTCTAGCCATAACAGGTTGTTTATTCACAACAAAGTTTTCTACCAAATCACCTCTGTCTGTCTCCCTTTTTCAAACCTTTCCTTCCACTTTTTGGCCCTTGAATTTTTGTCTTTTGTTATACTCTTTTTCAGTTATTTTTACAGTTTTCCTCTGAAAATGGATTTGGTAGAACGGGCTGTAGGAAAGATCAGGGATCCTTATAACAAGGCCGTTGTTTTTAAAAGCATAGCTTTGTCGGTTTCTGGCAGTGATAAGGGTCTGCATTTATTCAGAGAAGATTTGTGATTTGTCTGTGCTTTGCATGTCTCGAACATAAAATGAGATTAGACTTTTCCTTTGGAATTCATATAGTCTTCATTTACTATCAAATGTTATATCAAGACATGGTTCTGTTTATTGATATATTGTCTTATGGAGGCACCTACTGGCTTGTGTTCTAAAATGGCCTTAAAATGGGGCATAATTCTTGTTTTTCTCTAAAAGTTGTTAGCAGATTGATGTGAAATTTCACACAGGGTTAATTTTTAGGCCTTTTGAATTTTTGATGCAGTTTTTGTTTGGTGTTTCTTAACAAATTTGTTAATAGAAAGCCTTTGCATTTGGGCTTGTGCTAATTTTTTCCCTTGGCAGGCCTGCTGTTTATCAGAAACTTCTGTACACAATTGTCTGGACAAAACTTGGTAGAGAGGTAGATACTGAAGGCCACAGAGAGAGTGTTTTTATTTGTTTATTTTGGTTCTTTTTAACAAATGTTTTAAGCCATTATTTGCATTATGAATAAAAGTTTGTGCACAGTGCACATAAACTTAATGGATGGAGGCTAGGTGCAAACTAAATAGATTGGGTCAGGATACACAGAAACCTGATTATTGGGGCTCGGTGTACTAAAGCTTGATTGACAGGGAATGCTGGGTGCACAGAAGCTTGACTGACGGGGCATGGGGAAGCACTGGGCATCTCCAAGTGTGACTGGTTGACAGAGATGGGAGAGCTGCATGCAAACCTATTGGATGAGGACCAGGAGCACATAAAGCCTTCTTTATGAGAAGCTAGACTGTTGTGTCAGAATGTATTCTACAACAGAGAAGGGATCAAATGTTCTCCCACTGTACTTTAAGCCCCACATGTCATCCCCCCACACACTTATCCAATGCCCACCCCTAAATAAGCATTAAATAAATTAAGAGATGAATACACAAAAATCTTCCTTGTGAAGCAGTTAGGGTTGCTACACACACAACGTGCCTCTCACAAACTCATCAAAACAAGGAAATGAAAAGTTAAGCCACCTAATAATATAGTGTGTATCCTCTTCTCCTCCTCCCATAGACACACATCTTACTATTACCACAACTACACACACCATAGACCATACATTACAACCTTAACTCTGCCCATTAGGGTTCCCAGACTTTTGCATCACCCCCTATAATTGCCCTTCTACACGTAACCCTTTCCCAAATTAACCTCTGCCAGCACAACAAACTACTGCACCAAACATCCATAACTATTAGCGCTGGGAGAGGAGGAAAATAAACCGGTAAACGAGAGCATGCCAAAGGCTGAAAATGGAGCTGAGTTAAGATGGCAGGGTATGACAGGTGTTGTCATGCTAAGGTGTACTGTGTGTGGAGGTGTTAGGTGGCTTAATTTGTCATTTCCGGGTGTTTTTGGGTTTGTTTTTGGGTTTGTATTCGTGTTATCTGAGACTTTTCTTGCTAAGCTGTTCACTTCAAATAGCATCTGTAGATGTGAACTCTACAATCAATTATACATGGCTTTTTAAAAAGTGTTTCCTATTATCCAATTTAAATGTGTCCTTTTAATTTTATCAAGTATTTTCTTAACCTTTTATTATAGGACAGGATAAAAGGTATAATTCATATGGCCTTCTTCAAGCCTGCTATTTTCTTATATAGAGCTATCATATTTCCTCTTATTTTTCATCTTTCCATACTCCAGTACATAGTCTGGGACCTAGCTGTGTTTCCTCATTCAGTA